TCAAACATCAAGAAAAATCGACACAACGATTTTGCGTGGAAAAACCACAATTGGAGCACCTCCAATTGTGGTAAAAAAAAACTATAGGCAAAAGCCACAAAACAATCCACTAAGAAGACATAAAGGAATTACACAAGTGTACTCTCAATTACCTAGCGAATCCACGCCCAAATCGAACCAACCCCTATGTGCCTCTTCCAACCCCTTATTCACTTCGGAATTGTCTTGTACAACGTTGAATTCATAACGCCGATGTCGAATCCACGACGATAAGCCACTCCAGAATCCACCAAAGCTTCAGGCCCAAATTGCCCGGAATCCATTGAAGAACAACTCTCTCTTTTGTATTGAATAAATAAAGCAAACAAACCCTTTGATATAATTCACTCAATTCATGATTAAACTCTCACAAATATCAAAGGAAACAAGCAAAGAAGCCCCAGATGAAAACCCTAATACCCAAGAAGAAGATCTAGAAGCCATACCCTAAAATCGGACTGAAACACATATTTATAGAAAACAGATCCGTGATCTTTGCTCGAGCGCAAGAATGGCCGCTCAAGCAAAAAAAAAACGACTCCCAGTACTTTTGCAGGTGAGTGAAACTTCTGAAAAGTTGTGATCTCCGCTCGAGCGGACAAACAACTTCGACTGCAAAGTGGTAAACATGAAAGAATTAACTTCTGAAACATCTCTACAAGGCACAATTCGGGTTGGATTCGCATCTAAAAACTCATAGTCTCACTGAAATAAAAGTTGAAAAAAATTACAACTGAAAGAAGCTTTGTCAAACGGGATTGCCAAGAATAAAAACCTAACATAATTAATTGCGCGTTTTTGGTTGATAATCACATCTTGTCGCCGCTAGATTGTCACCATCACAAATCGCCGTTACTATAGTGAGAGGATGAGAGAGAGTGAGAATTAGAACTCTAATTGTAAACAAAGTAATGACAACTAGGGATGGCAATGGATAACCTAGCCTGTGGGTATCTAGGAGACCCAACCCAAATACATGGGTTTTCCTCTTCTTTCTTGTCCGTCGGATAGGGTAAGTAATGTTCTTTAAATCTACATCGGGGATGGTACCCACTAATTTCCCCATATATATATATATATATTTTAGGTACATCGGAAAGTAATTTCTCCATATGTTTTCACTACTCTATTTACAATTAGAGTTCTAAATCTCACTCTCTCTCATCCTTTCACTACAGCAATAGTGATTTGCGATGGCGACAATCTAGCGTCGACAAGATTGTGACTATCGATCAGAAAACGCGCAATTAATCATAACCAAAACATGGAAATTGAAAACAAAAATGCACAAAATTTTAATTAAGGTGATCACTAGTTAAGATGAAAATTGGGAAATTCAATCTAAGGTTACCATCTAATCAGAGAGAAATCCAATAAAACAATTGTAGGAGATATCGAAACAAGAAAATTCATTCCATAAATGCAAATAAAAATTAAAAAAAAAAAAGATGGAAATGAAAGCGATAACTCACCTTTAGATTATCGAAGATCAATTAATAGAGAGGAGAAGGAGATACATAAAATTAAAAAATAAAAAATAAAAAAGAAGATGGAATTTTTTTGTAGGAATAGAATTTTTCTAAATAAATTAAAAAATTTCTGAATATACATAAAATTTGACAAGAATAATGTGACAATGTTAATTAATGTGTATTTGATTTTTTTGTTGAGCCAAATAAAATAAAATAAGATTGAAAGTATATTTAGCTTTGGTTGTGTATCTTAAAAAAAAAAGGCCAAGTTAGGTTGGGGAATGGGAAGGGTAGTACCTATGGGGAATGGAGAAAAATAATTATAGGGGAATGGGGATAGGAATTAATATCCACCCCATTAACCCCCATTGTCATCCCTAATGAAAATATATGGAGAAATTATTTTCCGATGTACCAAAAAAAAAACATATGAGGAAATTAGTGGGTACCCATCCCCTCCCCAATGGAGATTTAAAGAACATCACTTACCCTATCCAACGGACAAGAAAAAAGGGAAAAACCCATGTATTTGGGTTGTGTGACACCCCAATTTTTTTTGGAATATCATAAAATTTAAGAGGAAATTACATAGAAAAAAACCCCCCAGAGTTTACTGCCTTTTTCAAATTAAACCCCAAGTTTCAAATTGTGACAATTTGTGCCCCACCATTCCACCTGTGTTGCAATCCCATCCCCCCGTCCATCTCTGTCTCTAGTAATTAACGAAAGAATGATTTGGGGGCCAAAATTGCCCTATTCTTCACGAGATAGGGCAAAACACACCCCCACATTGCAATTTACAGCTCCATGCAACCCACCTGGTGATTCAACCCGCGATTGAAACCATACATCAATGGAAGACTGCAATTTCATAGTTGATTTTCCAAAAAGCTTTGGACTCTGAGATAGAGGTAAGAAATGGGTTCGTTTTGGTTGTTTTATACAATTTTTTCCCTTCTTTTTTCTCTATTGTTGACTTTCTTTTTGTCTCCATTGTTGACATTGTTTATTCGTTTATGACATTGTTTTTCTCTCCATTGTCGGTGCACACTTATTGTTTATTGCTTTGTGACATTGCTTTTGTCTCTGACTGTATGCATGCCTCTGTATTATTGAATACATTGTGGTCCCAAGGTCTCTATTATTTTTGTAGGGTCTTCTGTGTCTATTTTTCTGTCATATTTTGTCTCCATAAATGGAGAATTGTGGGCCAAGTTGCTTTATATGAGGGTTTTGTTTTTTTAATTTGCTTTGTTTTGCAAGTGGACCAATAGTTATTGTCATTATTGTTTTGTTTATGTATGGATGTAGTAATGGCAACTTTTGTTAAAGTTCTGATACACCACATGGCTATTTTATTGAGAATGATAGAAAGGGTTATGTTGGGGGTAATGTGGATGTATTTGATGCAGTTGATGTTGATAAATTATCTGTCCTAGAGATTAGCTGCATGTTGAAAGAGTTGGGTGTTTTTTATTACAAGCATATTTTCTATAGGATTCCCAACAAAAATTTAGTCTTAGGGTTAAGAGTGTTGGCTAATGATGATGATATTAGAGAAATGTATTGCTTGTTGGAAAATACAAATACCTTAGAGCTGTTTATTGAGCATCATAAGCCACATAATGTAGATATTGCTCATCCTGTGTTATTCCTTACTAATGTGCCTGTAAAAGATATGGAAAATGATGGAAATTACAACAATGATCACTGTTAAGAGGACTCAAACACTGACAGTGATGGCAATGATGACCCATCAGATAGAGATTTCTCAGATAGCAGTGATGATGATGATCCTGAGCTCGATGACATCATGTTTGATAGTAATGTTGAGAGTGATGTCAATGAAGAAGGGCTTAAAGAAGGTGATGAGTGTGAAGTGAATGATGCAGATTCATCTGAGAAAGAACTAGTTACCCCTACAGGCTCTGATGATGAGGAGAATAACAACAGGCCTAAGTACCCTAAATTTAGGCTTGAGGTTGATATGCAGAACATAGAATTCAAACTAGGAATGTTGTTTAGTATTGCACATGAGTTCAAAGATGCTGTTAAGGAATATGCAGTAAAAGGAGGATATGATGTGAAGTTTACTAAGAGTGAAAAATGAAAGGTTCAAGTGAATTGTAGTGCTGGGTGTGAATGGAGACTATATGCATCCAAGATAACTGGAGAGAACACTTTGCAGATAAAAACATATCAACCTAAACACTCTTACTGTAAAACTTACAAGAATAGACAAATGACAAGTTCTTGGTTGGCAGAGAAGTATGTCTAGAAATTTAGGACCACCCCAACATTGAAAGTGAATGAGTTTCAGGAAAGTATCAAAGAGGATTTTGTTGTAAGTGTGTCAACAATGAAAGCTTATAGAGCCAAAAAGGCAGCAATTCAGAAGATTGAGAGAACCAATGCTGAACAATATAGTAGGATATGGGATTATGCAGCTGAGTTGAAAAGAACCAGTGAGGGTACTAACACTACAAGAATTTTCACTTTTGGCGACTAAATTTTAGTCGCCAAAAGTCAATTTTTAGTCTCCAATGGCTTTTAGCAACTAAATTATTTGGTCGTACCATTAGTTGCTGAAGAATTGTCAGGAAAGGTAATTGGCGACTAAAATTATTTTAGTAGCCAAATGTATTCAATTGCTGATTAAATTTTTAGTCGCCAAAAGGTTAGAAATAAAATTAAATAGCACATTTTCGGCTACTAAAGGTTTAGTCGCCTAACGTGGTATGTTTTTGGCTACTAAAATTTTAGTCGGCAAATAATTTGTGTTTTGGCTACTAATATTTTAGTCAGCAAAAGTGTTATGTTTTTAGCTACTAAAGGTTTAGTCGCCTAAAGTGTTATGTTTTTGGCTACTAAAATTTTAGTCGGCAAATAGTTTGTGTTTTGGCTACTAATATTTTAGTCAGCAAAAGTGTTATGTTTTTAGCTACTAAAGGTTTAGCCGCCTAAAGTGTTATGTTTTTGGCTACTAAAATTTTAGTCGGCAAATAGTTTGTGTTTTGGCTACTAATATTTTGGTCGGCAAAAATGTTATGTTTTTGTCTACTAAATTTTTAGTAGGCAAAAGTTTTTTTATTCTTCGGCTTTTGTTTTTAGCTACGAAATATTTTAGTCGCCAATTGTTTGATTTTTTTTTGCTACAAAACTTTTAGTTGCCAAATGTTTGATTTTTTTTTGCTACAAAACTTTTGGTCGCCAAATGTTTGATTTTTCTTTTGGCTACAAAGCTTTTAGTCGCCAAATGTTTGATTTTTTTTTTTTGCTACAAAACTTTTAGTTGGCCAAACTATTTTCCCAATTTCTTTTTAGCTACTAATTATTTAGTCGCCAAAAACATAATCTTATGTTTTATCACAAAATTATAATTTCTCCACAACCTGTCTATATTCCATGCAACTTGTAATACGTATGTAAACAAAATAATACGTATACTATCAATCATTCCACAATCTGCATCCGTATACAAAAAATGAATAACTTTAAATGTCAAAGTCCATACAAACCAACTATTGTCCAAACTAAAATAATAATTCCATACAAAATATAGAATCATACAAAAATCAAAGCCCTCCGTATACAAAAAATAATTTCACAAAAGCAGAGGAAGACATAGTTAGCAGGATTATACAAAAGTGTCAAGTGTCCTCCATAAACAAAAATGTAGACTATCCACAAGTCCACGCCAAAAGCCATCTACAAAAAGTAAAAAAAAAACAATTGCATCCATTACAAAATATCAATTCATTCAGACATAGAAAAAAGGTTGTAATAACATGCATTTAAGGTAGAGCAATCTATAAAAACATTTTTTTGAAATACAATCATATGTATGTATCATGAAAAAAAATTTTCAAACTTGATTTGAATTTACAAATAATACAATTTTTAGGAGCATACCTCTTCATAAATAAATTTTTATGAGTAGAATGTTTTGGTGGTAAATTTATTTTAACTTTTTTTCATTCTCATTTTCCTAATCAAAGTAAAATGATTGAGTAATCTAAGGGATTATCTCCATAACCATATCATGCTTTCTTAATACGTTTACCACCCAAATGTGTTAGGGAAAAACCTCTTCATAAATAAATTTTTATGAGTAGAATGTTTTGGTGGTAAATTTATTTTAACTTTTTTTCATTCTCATTTTCCTAATCAAAGTAAAATGATTGAGTAATCTAAGGGATTATCTCCATAACCATATCATGCTTTCTTAATACGTTTACCACCCAAATGACCACCGTGTACGATAAAACAATGGCATCATTTACAATGAAAATGTTGAACATTTATTGGATGTCAAACTCTCCCTTTTTCGAATAAGTTTAAGCTGTTTCCGGCTCTAACTCCCAAACTACGTGTGCTAATGACATTCCGTCTATTGTCAAAAGTCCTATATGGCATGGGGAAGCTAGCCATGACATCCCTACGGTGGTTCCGGGGCTGTTTCGATTTTTCAGTTCCTTAACGCCCTTTTTCAGTTAAGCTTACGGCAATTTTGGCTCTAACTCCCAAGCTACACGTGCTAATTACATTCCGTCTATTGTCACAGGTCCTATTTATCATGGCAAAGGTGGCCGTGACATCCGTACGGTGGTTCAAGGGCTGATTCGCATTTTCGCCCCCTTAACGCCCTTTTTCGGTTAAGTTTAAGGCGTTTTCAGCTCTAACTCCTAACCTAAACATCCTAATTACATTCCGTCTACTATCATAGGTCCTATTTTCCATGGGGAAGGTGGCCGTGACATCTGTATGCTAGTTCAGAAGCTGTTTCGCATTTTCGCCCCCTTAACGCCCTTTTTCGGTTAAGTTTAAAGCGTTTTTGGCTCTAACATATTGTTAAATCTAGGACTTATTTTATTAAAATCCTAATTGTATCCAAATTGAATTGGGTCTCCTCAAATATAATATATAAAAATATATTATACTAAACCAAGCCAAATTAAAACTCTTTTAATAAATCAATTGGGTCCCACACTCCAATAAGGAGGTATACCCAACAAAATGACCACCGTGTACGATGAAACAATGGCATCATTTACAATGAAAATGTTGAACATTTATTGGATGTCAAACTCTCCCTTTTTCGAATAAGTTTAAGCTATTTCCGGCTCTAACTCCCAAACTACGTGTGCTAATGACATTCCGTCTATTGTCAAAATTCCTATATGTCATGGGGAAGCTAGCCATGACATCCCTACAGTGGTTCCGGGGCTGTTTCGATTTTTCGCTTCCTTAACGCCCTTTTTCAGTTAAGTTTACGGCATTTTTGGCTCTAACTCCCAAGCTACACGTGCTAATTACATTCCGTCTATTGTCACAGGTCCTATTTATCATGGCAAAGGTGGTCGTGACATCCGTACGGTGGTTCAAGGGCTGATTCGCATTTTCGCCCCCTTAACACCCTTTTTCGGTTAAGTTTAAGGCGTTTTCAGCTCTAACTCCTAACCTAAACGTCCTAATTACATTCCGTCTACTATCATAGGTCCTATTTTCCATGGGGAAGGTGGCCGTGACATCTGTATGCTAGTTGAGAAGCTGTTTCGCGTTTTCGCCCCCTTAACGCCCTTTTTCGGTTAAGTTTAAGGCGTTTTTGACTCTAACTCCCAACCTACACGTGCTAATTACATTCCGTCTATTTTCATAGGTCCTATTTGTCATGGGGAAGGTGGCCATGATATCCGTACGGTGATTCGAGGGCTGATTCGCATTTTTGCCCCCTTAACGCCCTCTTTCGGTTAAGTTTAAGGCGTTTTCGGCTCTAACTCCCAACCTAAACATGCTAATTACATTCCGTCTATTGTCACAGGTCCTATTTTCCATGGGGAAGGTGGCCGTGACATCCCTACATTGGTTCGGAAGCTGTTTCGCATTTTCGCCCTCTTTACGCCCCTTTTCGGTAAAGCTTAAGGCATTTTTGGCTCTAACTCCCAACCTACACGTGCTAATTACATTTCGTCTATTGTCACAGGTCCTATTTGTCACATGGAAGGTGGACGTGACATCCGTACAGTGGTTCGGGGGCGGATTCGCATTTTCGCCCCCTTAATGCCCTTTTTTGGTTAACTTTAAGGAGTTTTCGGCTCTAACTCCTAACCTAAACGTGCTAATTACATGTCGTCTGCTGTCATAGTTCCTATTTGCCACGGGGAAGGTGGTCGTGACATCTGTATGCTGGTTCGGAAGCTGTTTCACATTTTCGCCCCCTTAACTCCCTTTTTCGGTTAAGTTTAAGGCGTTTTTTGCTCTAACTCCCAACCTAAACGTGATAATTACATTCTGTCTATTGTCACAGGTCTTATTTGCCACAGAGAAGGTGGCCATGACATCCCTACAGTGGTTCGAAAGCTGTTTTGCATTTTCGCCCCCTTAACGCCCTTTTTCGATCAAGCTTAAGGCGTTTTTGGCTCTAACTCCCAACCTACACGTGTTAATTACATTTCGTCTATTGTCACAGGTCCTATTTTTCATGGGGAAGGTGACCGTGACATCCGTATGGTGGTTCGGGGGCTAATTCTCATTTTCGCCCCATTAACACCCTTTTTCGGTTAAGTTTAAGGCGTTTTCGGCTCTAACTCCCAACCTAAACGTACTAATTACATTTTGTCTGTTGTCACAGGACCTATTTTCCATGAGGAAGGTGGCTATGACACTTGTGTGCTGGTTCAGAAGCTGTTTCGCATTTTCGCCCACTTAACGTCCTTTTTCGGTTAAGTTTAAGGCGTTTTTTGCTCTAACTCCCAACCTACACATGCTAATTAAATTCCGTCTATTATCACAGGTCCTATTTGTCATGGCAAAGGTGGTCGTGACATCCGTACGCTAACTACCCATCTCTTCACCAACCTTATCATTGACCTAAGACTATCACACTCCCATAAATTTACTTAATTCTACATGCAAATGCCCACTTTAGGACACAAAATGCAAAAGGAGTGGCAACCTTAGATTGCCTCCACTCAATTCAACACGGTTCAGGTTTCATTAAAAGTATAGGTAATTCTGCTCAATTACTCCTCACAAGGTCAAAACAAAAGTACAAAACCCAAAAAGAAAATAAAGACATGGACCAAGCATGTGATATTATCAACTTAAACTATATTGAAAGGCTGCAAGAAAATTGCAAAAGATCTGATACAGATCAAAGATTAACTAAATGGACCAAACACGTGACAAAGGACATAAACTATCTTAAAAGGCTTCAAAATTGCATATGGTTTATGAAAGATTAATCACAAGGACCAAACATGTGACAAAGTATCGCATAAACTAACTAGCCAATAACAACTACCTTGATTTTCATTTCTCCTTCAGAATGTTTAAGATGATGCAATTGAAACTTACATTAAGTGACCAAAGTATAAGGTTCTTTCTGTGCCAGTAATGTTGATTTCCAGTTCCACAACAAAAACTCATCTCTAAACCATAAGGATGCTCGACCTCCTAATACTTACATTGCTATGATTAATAACAAAAAATTACCAAAAAGATATATAATTATCTGCACAAACATAAGGAAAAGATTTTCCCACCTTTATGTTTGAACAAGGCAACTTTACGACAATTGTTTCCCTTCATCCTTTCTATATATACTCAGAAGTTCACGAGTAGCAGCTAGGAACGATTCTGAAGCAGAGAAAAAAGAGTGCATGTAAGCAGGAAGGCGTTGTATCAAAACATATTGAACTGTCACTCACTAGTAACTAAACCAAATAACTTGAATTACCTTTCCAAAGATGGAAAGATTTGTGTATGTTGTTTAACAGTGGGCACATTTTCCTCATATCCACTTTGGGCTAAAGCTGGATGGCAACCAGTAAGCAAAGTTGGAGCATTCAAATGCAATAGAGGGGACTCAAAAACCTAGTGGATTCTATTAAAAAAACAATGGTACGTTGCGAATAAAATCAGTTTTCTCTATCTATAACACGCGTAAATCTGAGATTAATTAAGTCTCCTAATCAACCTTATGTATTCCTCTACTTCACTTGTATTCTGTGAAATGACTGAAGGGTTTTTTTTTCCCCCTTAAATATTATTAAAACACAATAATACTCACTTCATAAAAAAAATTCAGGACACAAACTCGATACCTTATGTAGTGTAGGTTGAATGATCCAGCTGCTGTTGAGTGACAATAAGTGTAGTGATTGAATCACCTGCATATGTAGACAGAGCATTATATATAATCAGTTTGGCTTCTGAGAAAATTGAGCAAAAAAAAGGATAGATTCTTCATAATCATTTTGTCTTGCTGATTCTAGAAAATATAAGGATAAAAATAAAATTCACCCATATCTGTAGGAAATTACCAGAATGTAGCATGTAATGGTGGATTTGTTTAGTGCCTTTCCATTTTTTTCCCTCAGTTTTCTTAGTAGCCAAACGAAATCTAAAACGAAATTCACCCATATTTGTAAGAAGTAACTAGATAATAGGCATGTAATACTGGATTTTTAGTTTCTTTCCATATTTTCACTTAATTTTCTTGGTAACCCAACAGAGTCTATTTCCGTTTATATGAGTAACAAATTCCAGAGAATGTGGAAGTAATAATTTTGTGTTTTGTTAATTTTTTGGGTTTTGAGTTGGAGTTGTTTATGCTCAACTAATTATTTTGTATTATCTATTAGGATTTAAGCAGACAAAATGATTGGATCATTTCTTACCAGAGGACTTGTGTATATCGCTCATTAATTTAGGGCCACATACATTATATATTAAACATTTGCATATACACACACAGCATTATATATACACACAGCATTATTATACATATCCATACGGCATTATATATATACACACACATTCACCTGCATATATTACACATCATGTTTGAAATTTATCATAAATTATAGCCCCAAACACTAAATTTTGAATAAACCCTAAAGCAATAATGTGAAAAAATGGGGAAACAGAGCAAGGGGGATAGAGAGAGAGAGAGAGAGAGGGAGAAGGAGAGATGCCTATACGTGTACAAAGCATTATATATACACACACACATATATTAAACATCATCTTTCAAATTTTTAATAAATTAGAGGCACATACATTCAAATTTGAGTAAACCCTAAACCAACAATGTCAGAAGAGGGGGAAACAGAGTAAAGAAGAAAGAGAGACGGAGGGAGAGAGTGACTGTGTGAGAGAGCTCAAGTGACAGAGAGAGACACGCACGGACAGACCGTGAGCGAGCTCAAGTGCATAAATGTATGGTGCAAGCTAGGTTTGTTGGATCAATAAGACTACAATTATAAATGTTATGTTTGGATTATGATTTTTGATAAAAGCTTGGACTGAAAAGGAAAGCAAAATTGAGTAAAACATCAACTTATGTTTCAGTTACAATCAGGACAACCATCTACCCTGCATCTTTATCCAAGTATCAGCCAATTCTAATGTATATTTCCCAAATATGTGCCAATATAAGCAGGGTCCACTTCAGAAATAGTCAGGTACAGTAATTCAAGTAAAAGCAGTGCCTCAAAACAATCATCTCAAGTACATAGCAACACCTTTATATATTGCATCGCTAATCTATACACCATACTGCACAAATCCAAAAACTTAGCTTGTGAAAACATTAAATATCTTATCCAGTGATTCTCCCAAATAAAATAAACAAATAATACTAATAGTAACAGAAACAGAAACAAGACTATGTAATAACCACAAATTTTAAACATATGAAATTAAAAACTAATAATCAAATTGTGGAAGTCATCCAACCTTTTTTGGATTAGCTATGGACAAATTTTATTGCAACATTGAATACTGGATATCCACAACTAGCTTTGATGGTTTTCCTTGTACTGAAACAAACCAGAAAAGTTAAAATTAGTATATGGAGACAGGTATCTTCAATAGAAAACAAGAATGAATTCAGCAAAAACAACTGCTGAAGTCCAGAAAATACGTTAGTGTACAGCTAAACAACTTACTAAAATATTATAGGCAAAATTATCAAGCAAATGAGGGAAGTCATGCTCACCAACAGTGAGCATCCCATTTCATGAATCCAAAGACCTATAAAATGCAACAAAAAAGATCAAATAGATTAAATTTCATAAAAACATAACTGGTCATCCAAAGACCTTTAATGTTTCGATCCAAACCCTGGAAGTAGGTTCAGATCATAAAATAAGAAGAAATAAAGAGATAGGAGATCCTAGAGAGAAATGAAGAGAACGAAAAGATTACCTGATAAAGAAATTGAGGGAGTTCGTACCGTTGGAGGTCTCTTATTCAGACGACCATGGCTATTTATAGAGCGAGAAACAGAGCGAAATCGAGAGAGGAATATCGAGAGCAAAATCGATATATATATATAGAGAGAGAGAGAGAGAGCAAAATCGAGACAGATTTGGGAAAAGTTTTATACGATTTGGGGATACGGCAAGCGAGAGAGCGAGAACGAGAGAGAGCGCAAGACTGAGAGAAAGAGTGAGATATAACCTGGTATTGCGGCAGTGGCGGTGGTGATTTGCAACGGTGGCGATTTGTGACGGTGGTGGTGGCAATGTGTGACGTCGAATGCTTCCCGATGGTGAGCGCCTATGGTGAGGTGAGGTAAGGTGAGGTGAGATTTGGTGGTGACTGATTGTGTGTGTGTAAGAGAGAGAGAGAGAGAGAGAGAGAGAGAGAGAGAGAGATAGTGTTTTGTATTCCTTAACAGAGAAGAATACCTGGGAGGGCACCAATAGGTTTTTATTTTCCCACTAAAATTTTGGCACCTTTGGCGACTAATTTCAAATTTTTTCGGCAAAAATGTAAGTAATAACAACTAAATTATTTAGTAGCCAAATCAACTCAAATGGAGACTAAAATGTTAGTCGCCAAAACTCAATATACAACGACTGAAATTCTTTGTTATCGCTGAAAATAAACTTTTGGAGACCAAAATTTTAGTCGCCAAAGGTAAAAAAATAATTTTTTATTTTCTATTTGGCGACTAAATATTTTAGTAGCCAAAACTCAACATACGGCGACTAAAATTCTTTTTGTCGCTGAAAATAAACCTTTGGCGACCAAAATTTTAGTTGCCAAAGATAAAAAATAATTTTTTATTTTTCATTCGGCGACTAAATGATTTTAGTAGCCAAAACTCAATATACGGCAACTAAAATTCTTTTTTGTCACCAATTCTAGCAATTTTTAGCGACTAAATTTTTTTTAGTCGCCAATAACCAATATACCCCTACTAAAAAAAAATTAGTTGCTAAATATTGTACTTTGCTGACTAAAAAAATTTTTAGTCGCCAATTCCATAACTTTTGGCGACTAAATTTTTTTTAGTCGCTAATTTAGCCGCCAAAGGTGCATTTTGTTGTAGTGTAATGTTGACATAAATGTGTGGAGGCCTCAATTGGAAGTTAAACCTAGGTTTTAGAGAATGTATGTATGCCATGGTGCAATTAAGAGAGGGTTTCTATCTGGTGTGTGACCATTAATTGGGTTAGATGCTTGTTTTTCTGAAAAGGCCTTGCCAAGGGCAGTTATTTGCAGCTGTTGGATGGGATGGAAACAATCAAATGTATCCAATAGCTTATGTTGTAGCTGAGGCAGAGTGTAAGGAGAGCTGGACTTGGTTTTTACACAACTTGTTACAAGATATTGGCACAATTGAAGAACATGGATGGACATTTATGACTGATCAACAAAAGGTAAATATTTTTATGTATTCCTTATGTTTTCAAATACTCTTATCATTATGTAATTTCTAGAATAAGGTTGTCAATTAATTGTTTGGCTATGTTATCTGCTTTTTGTTACAGGGACTTGTTCCAAGCTTGAGATTGGTATGCCCTGAAGCCAATCACAGGTTCTGTTTCAGACATTTGTATGCAAACTTTAAGAAGTTGTTTAAAGCGAAAGAGTTGAAGGATTGTGTTTGGAAGGCAACAAAATCATACACAAGGGTTGAATGGCAGAGGCACGTGACTAAGCTGTATGCAGTAGATAGTAAGGCATATGACTGGATGATGAGAGTGAACCCAGTCCAATGGTCTAGGCATGGGTTTGGTCCAAGAACCAAATCCAATAGGCTCCTCAATAACATCTCTGAATGCTTTAACTCATGGATGATACAAGCTAGGGACAAACACATCCTTACCATGATGGAGATGATAAGGAGGGCTTTGATGGTGAGGATACATGAATGTAAGGACAGCATGCTAAAGTACAAAGGGCCCATTTGTGGAAAGATACAATGCAAAGTTGAAAAGAGGAAGTTGAGGTCCAGAGTATGGACACCTACATGGTCAAGAGGTGCTGAGTTTGAAGTCAGACATGGAGAGGATGGGTATGTAGTGAACTTAGAGAATAGGACATGCACATGCTTGAAATGGAACCTCACTGGAATCCCTTGTCCCCATGGGGTAGTTGCTATATTTTTTCAGAGGAGAGGGTTGAAGATTATGTTCATGCATATTTCAAGAAGGAAACTTTTTTGAGGACTTATGAGGCATTGATTAATCCAATGAATGGGCCAGATTTGTGGCCTAAAACAAGGTGTGACCCTCTTCTACCTCCTAAGCTTAAAAGACCAATCGGTAGGCCTTCCAAACATAGAGTTAGGGACCCAGATGAACCTAAGAATCCATATAAGTTGCAGAGGAGGCAGTCTACCCTAAAATGCTCTAAATGTGGTTGTTATGGTCACAATCAAAGGACTTGCAAGGTTCCGATGAAAGGAAAGACAAGTGGACCTTCAGGGAAATCCAATAATAGCGTAAGTATTCCATTGAATGAAAGTAAATAAACATTATGTTAGTAATAAATTATTAATGTTACTAATTACAAACTTCTTTTGCAGACATTCATGGGCTTTAGGACAGCTGCATTATTTAGGGAAGAGGGGAGCAGCCAAGCAGCAGTAAGTGGTTTTCAATCTAGGAAAAGGCCAGCAGCAGTAAGTGGTGTTGAAGATTCAACTGATGGGCAACCAAGGAAGATGACAAGATCAGCAGCAACAGACATTGGCAACAAGCAAGCAATAGGCAGCCAGTGTAGTGTGAACAAGTGGTTTTGAATACTTTTGTAATTAAAATAGGGTTTTTGCAATATTCATGGGGTTTTTGGAATGTTCATGGTTTACCTTACCTTACTGACCAATTTTGTAATTAAAATAGGCTTTTGGAACAATTATGTTGTACATATGGGTTATGAAACCTTAAGCAATGCTTGTATGGTAATTATCCTTCAATGCAATGGTTGAATGGTTGAAACCCCAATGTTTGGTTGGCTTGAATTATGTTCTAAGTTCATTCATGAAAATAACAGGTTCTTATGCTTATGTCAAACCAGGTTTCATATGCTTCTTTGGTTGGCTTGCTTTGTTGTGGTTGTTATGGTTATATGAAACCAGGTTTTATATGCTTGTATGGTTATCAATTTTGACCATGCTTGTATTGCACATGAATGATAAAACCATTGCACCATGCTGAAGCTAGGGACAGCATGTTGAAGCTAGGGACAAACCATTACAAAACCATTGCACCATTACAAAACAAAATCATTTCACAAACCATTTCAAACCAAACGTTTTATTTACATTTGACCATTACAAAACAACAACAATGCACAAAGCATTTCCCCATTACAAACCAAACACAATTGACATTGCCATTGTTCAACAAAAGCATTGTAATTACAAAACACATTATGGAAGTAATGCACCAAGCCAAAACACATATTAACAATTACATAGCAAGCCTAAACACTATTTTGGAGTACAAATAGTCCATTCATAAACAATGTAGCAATCAAGGCAATGACAAGCCACTTTTGTCGTGCACGATAACGTTGAACAGCATCCTCTAATTTTGCAACCTCATTGACACATTCTTCTAGTGCTGCAACCTTGTCCACCAACTTCAGCAACACTTGTCTACCATGAGCACATGTGGGTGGATTGTACCAGGAAAAGTAACCACTAGCCCCATTTTTCTATAATTGCAATCAAACATAAACAAATGAGCAATTGTTTTTGAGTGAATCTTCCATAGAGTTGTTATCTTCTTCGAATTGAATATATTACTTTATTCTCAATTTTCTATAAATACTGATAAGTTGCTAACTGACTTTACTTGAAACTTGTATACACTAACTCCATAATTAGGACAACCCAAAAACCTCCTAGCAGGATTAGCATGAGTCCACGAAGTTCTGATCTTTGCTCTTAACCCATAGCTGCAACGAGTCAACTCACCCCAATTGTTCCCACCCCAGCTATTACCTTCACTCATTTTTGTCTTTCACTTTGATGGAATAGAAAACAGTTTGGATGACTATGGAGAGACAAAGAAAGTCAACAATGGAAAGAAAATGAAGGTCAACAATGGAGAAAAAAAGAAAGGGGAAAATCGTAAAAAACAACCAAAAATGAAACCATTTCTTACCTCTGTCTTAGAGACCAACGCTTTTTGGAAAATCAACTATGAAATTGCAATCTTCCTTCAATGCGTGGCTTCAATCGCGGGTTCATGGAGCTGTAAATAGCAATGAAGGGGTGTGTTTTGCCCTAACTAGTGAAGATTAGGGCAATTTTGGCACCCAAATCATTCTTCCGTTGACTACTAGAGATAGAGATGGACGGGGGGATCGAATTGCAACACGGGTCGAATGGTAGGGCACAAATTGTCACAATTTGAAACGTGGGGTTTAATTTGAAAAATGCGCTAAACCCTGGGATTTTTTATGTAATTTCCCCAAAATTTAAATAACAAATAACTTGCTAAATAAATATTTGAACAACTAATTAGGGAAATTTAAATTCTCACATAGTCAAAGTTTAACAACAAAATAAAATTTCAAATCTGCATACAATATTACAACAACTTTATAACATTCGTAATTACTAATACAAAGATAATAAAATTTTATTTTGCTAAATTTTTTATTTCAAGTTAGCGACGGTTCTATACTAGCAACGGCCCCAATTTCGGCTTCAGTCCCTTCCTCGTCATAATCTGGCATAAAATGTCAGGGCAACAAAATATATGCCATGAGTTTTGCAACACAGTAAGAAAACACAAGCAACCTACCATTCTTTTGAAGAGAAAATAATCAGATAATAATCATGACAATTAAGAGAAAATGACGGAATTAATAGCATGATGATATAACAACAATTTAAAATAATTTCAACAATTTTATTAGTTTAGGTGACATTCAAAATCTCACCAAAGAGATTTTCTTTCCAACCACTAGGGATGGCAATATCAACCCGGCCCGACGGGGACTTGGACCGTCCCGTCCTGATAAATAGGGTTTTCCCCGAAAATTATTCCCCATAGGGCCGGGGATGGTATTGAAAAATACATCCCTGATAATTTTCGAGCCGGGGACGGGGATAGGCTCCTTGGCCCCGGCCCCACTCCGCCCCAAAATTTCCCCGATGTAGCCTTGCCTCTATGCCTCTTTAGTTGTATTATATAAATATTTGTTTTCATTTTATCTTCTCTCTCTCAACTCTCTCACTGACTCTCTACTTTCTCACTCTTTCACTCTTATCTTCTCTCTCAACTCTCTCACTCTCTTCACTCTCTCGTTCTCAACTCTCTCTCAACACTCTCGTTCTTCTCTCTCTCTCACAGCTCTCTCACAGTGTTTGTCATGGAGATATCACCACCACCACCGCTGGCCCCGACCCCCCTCTCTCTCTCTTCTCCTCGCCTCGGTTTCTCTTTCTCTCTCTCTACTTCGTCTCTCTCTATTCTTGAGCAGAAGGTCCATCTCTCACCACCACCGAACCCACCGCCACAGCCACAGCCACCGCCACCGTCAACGTCGATCTCGCCATAAGAGCCTGGTCATTGGCGTCGATGAAGGTGTGCCAGATCTGTACTCAGATCTGTTAGATCTGTCTTCTCTCTCTCTCTCTTTGACTCTCTCTCTCTCTCTCTCTGATCTGATGTTGTTGTTGTTGATCTGTACTCAGATCTGTGTTGTTCAGAATATTTTTTTTTTAATTTGTGTTAATTATATATTGATCTGTTATATATTGAACAAAATTGATCTGTTAGATCTGTTATATATTGAACAAAATTGGGGAAGAAAAGTAAGAGAAAAGGTCAAGTGAGAGCCTTTATATAGTACTAGGTCAAAAATAAATATAAGCCCCAAAGTCAACTCAAAATATCTAGTCAAAATATCCCCAAAAAGTAGGCCCAAACCGGTAGAAAAATTTGGAAAAAAGTTGTAGGTGTCGACCCTCTACAATACAGGTGTCGACACCTAAAAAGAAATCCGGAACACTAAGTGTGACTGCACTGTTGGTGTCGACCCTTCCCTAGGTTGGTGTCGACACCAAAATGCAATGGGCAATTTCAGAACAAGGGTCGACCCTTGTGGCCAACCAAAAAGAGAAGGTGTCAACACCACCAAGGCTGGTGTCGACACCAAAATGCAGTGAACAAATACAGAACAAGGGTCGACCCTGCCCATATTGGTGTCGACCCTTGTGGCCAACTTAAAGAAAAGGTGTCGACACCACCAAGACTGGTGTCGACCCTAAAACATGGTTTTCAAGTTTCTAAACAACTTTTCAACGTGAACAAGCGTGAACGAGCAATCCCAACAACTTTAAATCAATTTGTACACCTCCAAAACTAAGGTACAACAACACCAAAGATTCCCAAAATAAAATAAAGGGTTCAAATACATTTATCAAAAGCTTTAAAGGACTCAAGTGCTACACTAATTTACAATGTTTAATGAATTAGACCAACACAATAGCTTTTTTTTTTATCCAAATAATTAATTGAAGTAATAATCTTAAACCTGCCTAGAAATTTTCAGGATGTACCTTAGGTAATAAAAATTATAAATAAATTATTTATGCAATTCTAAAATTCGTGAAAATCTACAGAATATTCAATAAACATGTTTAGGTCATTTTTCAGAAATAATTTCCCAAAAATAAGTTATAAATAATTCTGTAAAATTCTCATAAATTTCATGACATCGATTTATCACATTTTCTTAAATTAATTCCATACTTAAATTCATAAATCAATTCCATAATCTAAAAATTTATTATGAAACTAGACTTCTCAAATTTAATTTTTTATTTAGAAATTACCATATTTGATTTAATATAAAATTTTTAATAATTTTTCAAACACATAGTAAAATTTGCCTATAATTCCAAATTTGGTTAAAATTTCGTATAAATTCGTACAAGACTCAATAATTTTTGAAAAAATTCGCGGATGAAGTAGACATCAATATAAACAACTTTGTAGAATAAATAATCTTAGAAATTTGAATATAAAATTGTCTAAAAATTCATACAACTTTCTGGCAGATTTAAATAGGGCCAAATAAAATCTTCAATAATCTTTTTAATGGCATAAACTACACATGCAAGTCCAAATTCCACAATATTATCATGATTTTAAGACTACCAATATCTTCAAATATTTGATATACAAATCATAAATTTACATACAACTATAATTAAAATTCTATCTACAAGTCTAGTCATTTTATCATATGAATATAATCTGAAAATTTCAACAATAAAAAAAAAAATTAGAGGGTTAAGAAAGTTTTCTTACTTAATAATAGAATGATGAAATGGTAGAGGATAGCTTCCTTAATCTCCCACTCTTCTTCTTTTCCTAATCAACTTAATTGCTTCACAGATTTCTTCTACTTTTTTTTCTTTTTTTTTTTTTTTGTGTCACTTTTCTCCTCACTTATCCGGAGGAGTAAACATACATATATATAGATGAATCAAGCTGAGCCTTCTCTCTCTCTCTCTCTCTCTCTCTTAATCATCATTCTATGTAATCATTTCATATATCTCAATTCCAAGAAGCATGATGGAGTTATAGTCCCTATATGGCATGCATGCAAACATGTGGCATTCACTACCACAGAAAATCTGAAATTTCAGATTTTTTTTTTTAATACACTAAGGTTTTTAACTAAATTATTTAGTAAAGATAATTATCATGTTGAATCCTTATTGAAATAATTTATAAACAATAAATATTGAATACACACCAGATTATTATTCTTAATAAGTGATTGAATTGGGTTAATTTGAAACTAACTTATACACTAATATATATTTTTAGATAGACTCTGAGTAAAATTAATTTATTCATTTATTCATTTATTTTCTTTTTGAATAATTAAATGCGAGTTCTCACAGGTTGGGTTTCCATAGATACCCACAAGGTAGATTATCCATTGTCATCCCTACGCCGAACAGCCGAACAGCACCCAACCGGTGAGGCGGCGAATCTATTTTAAGGACATTGTCAAGTACAGGCTTCAGTTTGCCTTCTATTGCCATTTTATTTATATATTTCTGTTCATCTACTTGTAATTTTGAGCATGCTGTTATACTCTATAATTCAAATATAAAATATGAATTTATTTGTCCTATGTGATCCCACAATTTATACAATAGATATTTGTACCCCTATAGCCTTTCATTTGCACCCCACCACAGACACATTTGCACCCCTCATATGTTAGTAATTTTTTCTTTCTTCTCCCACCTATATGTAATTCTCGTAGGGAGAAATTCCCTTTTAATGGAGAAATAATTTTATTTTTATAGCGGTACAAGTTTCCTGTGTATGTATATATGGTGTAAATCAACTCATGTGTTAGATGTAAGTCTTTCATGTGTGTCAGAGTCAAATTAAAATAAAAAAATTCATCCATAATACAATTGTTTTATAATTGTTTCACTTTTTTACTATTTATCCTAATATAATTTGCAGCAGCAAAGATAAACGATTGTAGAATCAAAGATGGTCGCTAAATAATTATGAGACCACCCTTATCCTTACATTAATATCTTTCATTCAAAGTTCAAATTTTGCAGTAAATCTTCTAAATTCATTTTCAATGTTTCTTATGCTAAATTATAAATTTGAATATAGCTCTTGAGAGGGTAATTTATAAGTAAATTGGGCCGAGCTAAGGAAGGGCCTTCTTTGTAAATTGGGCCGCACAATGAGCCGAGGTAAAAGTTTATATAGCCCGGTCTTAGAGCTAACGAGCTTGGCCTAGATGAGGTTCGGACCGAGCTATGGACTGAGGAGCTTGGGCCTTGCACGTCCGACCTCGTTTTGGTTAGCTCGGTGAGGGACTGCTGTAATTAGCTCGGTTTGAATAGCTAGAACCGAGATGTAGGTCGACAAGGATCAAGCTAAGCATTGCGCATGGAATCACCGAATTGAGTATGTCAAAGGGCTAGTGTTAGCTCGGTCATACTGTTATCCAACCATGTTAAAACCACCTCACTTAGTTTAAGCAGTGAGGAGGGTGTTGAAGGATAAGCGTTATCTTTCAGGAGTGTGATTCCTAGGAGGACTCTACATTGAGAAATAAGAGTCCTACTAGGATTGTGCCAGGTAAAAACTATAAAAGCTCTCAACAGAACCTATGTACAGGTAACACAACTTTGATTCTCGGAATATGCAGAGCTTTTGTCTATTTATCTATTTTGCTAACTTAGGCATCAGAGAGGTATCCGGCACACACCCGTCGGCTAGCTCACGTTTGTGTTTTCAGGGAATAAAGCGACAACGTTTGGAGAAGCGCAGACTTGATCAACAGAATTATACGAGCACATTATTTCGTACTCGTACAGCTCTTTTTTTCAATCTCAATTATAATAGATTCACAATTTTTAATTTTTAATTTTTTTTGGAAAATAATATTTGTACTATTAAAAAAACAAAAATGTTAAACACCCGAAATTTTGTATGGAACACTCACATATCTATATGAATATTTGGTAGAAAATTTTATATCCGCAGTATTACTCTAAAAAAAATTATTGCTAAATTATGATATTTTGATTCTTTGTCATTGCTGTTTTAGAGCTAACTACTGCTCTCACAAAGATGAAAAAAACGTCTTTCAACTCTTATCCAAGTTGGCCGCAATAAAATAACCAATAATGGCATGGTGAGTTTGGCCCATGTATGGTGGTGGTGGCTAGGTGGTTTTCCCCAACCCAAAAGCAAGCCACCACCAAGCACTACCTCTACTTAGAAGCACTATAAAGTTTCTTACAAAATGACAAATTTGAAGCGGTTTAAAATTTATCTGTTGCCTATATCTCTATCTCTATCTCTATGTTTGCTGATGGTCTATCCAAGTGTCCCTAGAGATGCACCACAAGCCATAACCGCAGGAGTAGCCAACCACAATTTGCCCTGTAAATAATTTTTTATTGCAATTTGTCCAGGTGGTGATTGATATCTGTGTCTACTCATGCATGGTTGCTTAAGTTGTTTGAAAACAAACAACACAGCGCTCAACACCTGCAACCACCGATTGACCAACCAATTGGAGGCCACCATCTTGAAGGTCTCTGTTTCGGTGATGACTTTGAAAACATCGACCGTTAAAATACCAAGATGAACGGAGGTTTGATCTGCCTCAATTTTTGCAAACGGTGGTCTTTCTTTGGGGGTGTTCCATCTACCTGTGCAAGAGCTCCTCCTATATTCGACAGTCAATGCAACCAATCAGTTCACACAGTAATATATACCCAATCGAGATTGCTGGACAGTCTTTTATGTAGACAGTTGCTTCCATGTTTGTCTTTCGAGATGTGCTGCCATATGGTCTCTATGTCCTTTCACTTTGATTGAATTTATATGTAAATGATGCACACCACCTGTTTGCTAATATGCACCAGAAAATTTGTTGATGTCTTAACCATTAATAAAGAGGCATTATTATAACTACTAGCAACCAAAAGTAGTAGTAGATGACCTTCACCCAACTATTAAAAAACTTATAAATACATGGTTGTTTGTCTTTGTAGCAGGTCATACTGTGTGTGCATCATCCAAAAATCAAATTCTATCTACAAATACATAACAAATCCTCAATTGATAGATGGGTGTATGCATCTACAAATAGAGAACTATTCCTCAATTTATACTAAGCCAACTGCTACTGCTTATGTGCAATTTTTATTCTCTTTGTTTATGTTTATTTGCTCACTTAGTTGTTGATTTTTTTTTATTTTGTTATTTTGAATTTGTAATTTGCTAATATGTTGAATTTTTTATTTTTTGGTGCTTTTCCTACAACTATTTTGAGGCTAGAAGAAATAGGACTCCTCCTTATTGGGATGCTGAGCTCCTCTTGTGTTTTCAGAGCAATAACCTCCTGGTATGCAGCTTCAGTTTTACTGCCGCAACATTAAAGAAAAAAAAGAAGAATATATAAATATAAAATTGAAAGCAGAGGTATTATCAATTACAATCAAAATACACCAGCCCCTCCACACTCTCTGGTGCCACCCCCAAGCCCTTAAAAAAGGTGTTTATCTTTTTCAATGTAGAAAAATATGAGTGAGTTGGTCATTGTTGGTGGGAAATTTGATTAGTTACTTTACCTGATTGTATATTTGGGTGTATTCAACCACCATGGGATGCAATATTTTCCTTTTTCTCAAACTGATCTGTTAGAAGTAATTCCCACTTTATTCACTGATGATACCTTGTTATCTTATCTGTGCAGTAATAGAAGATGATGCAACATTGACAAATCACATAAGCCAAAGCTTTTTGTTTTCTGCAGTAGAGGCACACTTTGTAGAAGATGGTCGCTTGTTGTGTTGCCTATAATTAACTAAGAATTGCCTAACAATAGAGGACAAAATTACAACAAATAAAAGGTCCCTCGCTGCAATTTTGGTTTAAGTTGTGTTTTTAGGCCTATAAAATTGAGTTAATTTTGTAACCAATTAGTAATTTTTTCCCAGTTTGGGTTTAGGCAATTTCTTGTAGTAGTTGTTAGACTCAGTAAGTTGTTAAGTTTCGAGTATGTATTGTTGACTTACAATTGTCTAATTTTATATAATTTCTTTTTTTATGATTAATTTCTTCATGATTTTGAAAAAAATAGTTGAAACTTCTTATCATATGAGTTTCGAACTATGCATTGTTGAATTATAATTGTCTAATTTGATATAATTTTCCTTATTTGTAATGAATTTTTTACTGATTTTGAAAAAAAACATTGCATATGGTACATATGACACCTCATTTAAGAGCAATGAAGAACAACAAAAAAATTAATATATAGTATTCTGAAAATTAATTAAAAAAGACTAGCTCAAAAGACAAGTTCAAATATAGGCTCGTTCATCCACTACATATATAGTATAGACATCAAATAGCCACTGTATTAATAAGTTTAGAAACCTAAATAGTCATGTAAACATGCCAACTTGAAATTTAGATTTACATAAAAATCTGTATGCAACTTTATGGTATTCCACAACAAGATAAGTAAAGCTTCTCAAGTATGAAACTCTATTGTTAAATGTTGATTCTCATTTGTTTGATGTAAAACTAATCTGAGCTTCCCCACTGATGGAAGTAAAACTGATCTAAGCTTCGTCTGAATTGGACTTCAGTTGGTTGTACAGTTTTGTTTCCAAAAATCATTGAATTTGCAAAATCTTACTTAGCTGAATTAATAACCAATCTGATGATGGCATGTTATAGTTATTTATAAGTAATATGTGCAGATTTATTTGTGAATGTGACTAACTACACTAGGTGGTGTCCAAGCCCCTTACACATGAACCATCCCTCTAAGTTTCATCAGTAGTAACTACATATTCAACTTGAGAAGAAATATATGGCAACTGTAAATATGACGACAAAAATATGACGACAAAACTTTGTTGCACCAAATAAAAAATATTGTATATTGAAAAAGACAAGGATATAATTACTTACGTTCTATATAATTATTATGATGTATTTAACTTTTCAAATAAAAATATAGATATATATAATGTTGCTCCTCCAATGTATAATATTAGTTGTTCCTATGTTACTATGTGTTCTTCATGTTCACTAGAGTTTAACATTAACATAACTTTTTCTACAAATCTTTCCTAACTATTTTATCCACATTAACAATAAATTTTTTTTTTTATTTTGTAGAGCATTTTGTATATATTATTAAAAAAATTAAATCAACTCGACAACTGTAATTTATTTAATTGATCAAATTTATCATATAAAAATGAAAGATCTATTTTGAATTGATTTAAATTTTTAAAAAATTATATACATATCGCCTACAATAGCACGACCCCACGCACGGAGCACATGAGATCCAACTAGTATATATATATTGGTTAACAAGTATTCTTAGAACTCAAGAAAATGATAAAATAAATAAATAAATTTATATTTTTTATAAATTTCAAAGCACTTTCTAATCTTTTCATATTTTTTCAACACACTTTTTCTTATATGTTCTCAATATTGGAAATTAACAAGTGCCATCGGAGCTTAGCATTTCAACCTACTCTCGGAATAGAATACCAAAAACTTTTGAATTTGGTGCATGAGCATAAAATCGACTTGCCTATGTAGAAAGGAGAGATGATCATTCAAGAAGTATACTAAAATCCATTATATAGAATTGACGCTACGAAGTCCCTGTGCCATACATCAACGGCGCAATATTGAAAAGAAAAGACCTCCAAAAAGCCTATGACACAAAGTCAAAACTCAAACCCGTTCCTACAGGTTTAGTACCATGACCGGTCAGTAATCATAGATTACCTACAACCTCTATAAACAAAAACCTTTTTAAGATAATTATGGGACTAAGCGGAAGTATAATATAGCATAGTATTTATCCATTAAGCCGTGCGTATATAAAAAAACCTTCATATCATAAGCAAACATTCATTCTTTATGTACATTCATCACAAAGTTCAAACATCTATGTCATATATAAACATAACCCCAACTTATACACAAATACAAAACCATTGTACGAAGCAAAAAGGGGTTTAACTAACATGGCTCCACCTGAGCCTAGTTTACTTCTCTTGGAAGCTCCTCAAAAGGCGAAACGGGGTAGACTCGAGGCTTTCTTTAACTTTGATGTTCAGCTTGCCCACCTACATATATATAAATAATTAGTGCGCTAGGACCCAGCGAATAATAATAGAATAAAGAGGTTATATGAATGAAGTTCAATGGCAATGTAACATTGCCAAACCAATTCTCATTTCAGTTCTCCATAATCAATAAATTTCATCGTCGATATCATTCAATATCAAATTAAGTGGGTACGTCATGAAGCAATAATATTCCAATCACAATGAACCATAAAGGTCTTAACATTAGAAATTTATGTGTTTCAATCAATCCAATAACCATGGTATTGTTACCCCCAAACAAGGGCCTATGGCCATGGTATTGTTACCCCCCAGGTAAGGACCCATGTTCAATGGATGCCACAATACAATTCAAAAGTGACCTTTATTCATCAACAGAAAATAATTCTTTATCAAACCATCCATTCAATTGCTCATATATCAATTTCAATAATAAAAACAATTTCGAAAATAAGTATTGTTTGAACATATCTCTATAAAATTACTACTCACAGTGAGTTAAGTCGTTGCTTGTCCTCGAGCGTCCACCTAAACAAAACACATAACAAACATACAATTGAAGCACCATTCGATAACCGTAACATTTAATTTAACTCTCTTTGTGTGTCTAATTGGTGCCTAAGAGTACTTGAAATGACATAAAGATGCGGGTATGTACTTAAAAGAATTGGTCAAAATTTGTTGCAAACAAGGTCTCCGCTCGAGCGGTCTGCAAAACTCTGTAAACTACTGGTTGCATGATTTTTATGCTCGAGTGAGCTTTCCGTCGCTCGAGCAGTAAGCAATGCAAAACAGGGTTCGCTCGAGTGCAACTTTGGACGCTCGAGCCACCGTGCAATTCTCTGTAAAACTTTTGAGAGCTTGATTTTAAGGCTTGAGCGACACTTCCTTCGCTCGAGCGGCCAAGTCGAATTCTGGAATTTTTCCAGAATTGTGTTTGAAGTTCAAACTTGATATTCAAATGTCCAAAACTCATGTTTTTGGTACATGGAAAAACATTGTACAACTTGAAAACATTTCCAATTTGAATCCGATTACTCAAAATCATGTCAAATTCTCAAACCCAAAACTTAAAACTTCATACTATGATCCATGTATGCATTAAATTGAGCTTATGTCCTTTCAAAACATGTTTAAGTAGTATTAGAAGTACTAATACATGAGGAATCCATCAAGTTGGTGTGTGGAAGTGCCATGCATGTAAGAATCTCATGAATTCCAACTCCAAATATGCATGCATGTATGCATTCAACTCTATTCTTCCATTTCATGATATTCCTAGCTTCTTTTCTTCAATGACATGCCAATGAGCTCAAAAATGAGAGGAATTCAACTTCTACATGCCATATCTACATGAATTAGGGATGAACGTTATACCTAGTATAGAATTCAAGTGTTGTCTTAGCTTTGATTCTCCAAATCTCTAGCAATTCTCTTCAAATTCTCCTTTTTCTCTCTAAAGTGTTGAGTTCACCTTCATTCTCTCTCTCTCTCTCTAAATCTCAGCCCATGTGTTGTATAAGTGAGTTCAAGACATGAATTAGGCTTATATAGGGTGTAATTAGCTTAGTCTAATATAAGTTTATTAATGTTAATTAATTAGGCTCAATTCTAACTAAGTTCATTCAGTTACTTTAATTATTTTGATCTGAATCAAATTTCGACAAAAGTTGTCATAAAATTCTAAATATTCTAATTCGCCTATCAAGCTAATCAATTTCATTTTCTGAAGCCATTTAGGCTCTCAATTCCGGTCTCTAAGTTGGCAATTTAAACAGATATTCCATATATTAACAGATAATCACAAAATTAAACATATATATACACACATTAACACAACAATCATGCAATTATACTTATCAAAATAGTGTGATATAATATTACGGAGGTAGGGGTCGTCACTGTTTTGCTCAAGAAATATATCCTTTGCTCTTTAAACTCTCAACCGTTTCCTTGATAATTTGCTCCATAGGAATGAATTGCAAACCCAAGTCCATCAGCTTCTTAGATCCATCCTTGGTCCTCAGCAATCCTGGTTGAGTATCCTTTGGCAGCCTTCAAAAAATGCATTAATACAGATAAGCAAATGGCTAAAAATCACAATCACTTGCAACCATTTTCAAATTTCAAAAGCCAGTAATTATAACATCACAGATAAGGGAACCAGCTTCAATCCCCTAACATCAGCTGCACGCTAACATGATGTTCACCAAGTCTTCATCCCATTTCTTTTAGTCCAATCGTGATGGGCAATCAGGTCTCAGCGATAGCCCTGCCCCTGCCCATGACCCTTCAATCCAAATAAAAGCGGGATTTAATCCCAAGTCTTTACTATTGACTGCCAAGGTGGCACCTTCCAGTCTTCATCCTATCTCCACAAATTTATATGATAGATACGGAAAGCTACTCATTGGAAAGCCAAAATACATAGATTACAATCTCAGCAAGATCACCCTAGCCCCTGTTTTCTAGAAAGACCCAAACAGAAACAGACTGCTTCAAAGCCATAAATGATTTAACCATATGGTAGACTCCGTAAGGTTCACAGTCCATCACAAAGTCAGTTCACATTACCACCTCTCCAATTGGTTCTTCTATTGGGGTTAAGTGGGGCCCAAAGCAATGGCCCCTGGTAGAATAACCAATCAAGGGGTAGTTAAATTCACCCAAAAGGTGGGTGAACAAAATTGTTTTTGTCCATCACAGCACTATCAGATATTTCCTAGCTAAAAATCATGTAAATAACTTTAATGGAAACAGTTGCAAGTATGGGGATGAAAACACATTACCTGGGAACATTATATTCAGGATAAAGTTCTGCGACCATGGCTGTGAAATCACCATAATGTGATATAGCTTCAACACACAAGTGCCTTCCAGTAGCTGATGTATTTTCATAGACCAATATGTGTGCTAGGGCCACATCTTTAACATGGACAGGTCCCATAAAGAAGTTCTCATATATTTCAGTGCAGCCTGGCCAAAAATAAAGTGCCACATTAGTTTTTTAAATAATTGTTACACTGATAAGAAGTTAGCCCTGTGTCTATCATTCCTCCCCTTCCTCCCATTTTTAGAAGGATATCATTAAACCCTGCAACTGTAGATTTTAAAAAAAAAAAAATACTAAGAAATATATTTAGTCCCATTCAGTCTTTCTAAATGCTGCATTTAAAATCAATGCATGCTTTAATAAAATCTATGATAACGTGTAACTTTTGCAGAAATTACCTTGAAGAAAGCGAAGAAGCACTAACATGCTTGCATTAAGAGCTGGGGGGATAATAGGACCCATAACAGTTCCAGGATTCACCACAACCACATCCAAACCTTTTTCCTTAGCAAATTCCCAAGCTGCTTTCTCAGCTAGTGTTTTAGAAAGTGGATACCATAACTAGCCAACAAAAAAGACAATTCAGGTTTAAAAATCTGTAAACAATGCCGCAATCCTTCTAGTATAAAGAAAGAAAATATTCACAGCAACATTAAAAAGAAAAATATAAATTTAAGAGAATATTTTACTAACCATTTTTGTGTTTTGGGTAAGTAGTTTACTCAATACCACAATAACATATAATATAAGCATGAGTAGAAACCTCGTGAAGCTAATGTTAAAGTGATAATACTAAGCTAAATGAGTTCATATTCCTTTGAGTAGAAACCTCGTGAAGCTAAATGAGATCACAAGAGGGATCACACATGAAGTAAGCTTCAAACTTACTCTAAAAGATACACAAGGATAAATTGGAAACGGCTTCTTTGACGTTTGATATAGAAATTCATGTAGTAAGTGGAACGGTTTCTTTGATGTTTGATATAGAAATGAAATAAATATAAGATAAAACCATTTGCCTTGCATCGCATGTGTTTAGTTACTAAATGATTCAGTAAACCCACCCACAACTTTTTCAATTATTTAAATTATAAGTGAGAGCTTCATGCTAATTTAACATAACAAAGCATCACAAGAAAGCCCATGCTTTATTTTCTGGCATACTTTTTCCAGTAAACTAAATAGTTTTTCAACAAAAACATATTCCTTGGTTTTATTTTCTTTTTGCCATACATTCCTACATCTCTCTTTTCCTAACTGAAATTACTAACATTACAGCACACCCTTACCATGATTAATACAGACGCTTTCTAAACCAAAAATGATAATTTGTTGCTAAGATAATATACGATTTCAATAACAAAAAAAATAAAAAAAAAATTACAACTTTCGTAATTTAGGCGTGCCTTTGAACCAATTCAGTTGTGATAGCTAAAGTTGCTGAAGGCCTAGAATTCCAAATTTCTCAAATATAGTAAAATTAAAGCAATAAAATTTATTAAAATAAAAAATTATGAGCAAACAGAAAGGGGAAAAGGCTTCTCACTCCATTCTGCTTGCAATATTCAACATCAGTCCAGCAATCCTCGTTCTTGACCTTGTCGGCCGGCCAGTTAGGGCTCGGGGTGATAGCCGATATAGACGAGGTCACCACCACCCGCCGAACCCCCAATTCCTTGGCCGCCGTGAGCACGTTGAGTGTCCCCTTAATTGCCGGTTCCAATAGCTCCCTCTGTTATCAAACCCAAGCAGAGAGAGATACATATAGCACATCGACATGATAATCAAACGAAAACAATTATAGATATGTATGCATTATACGGACCTCGGGATCTTTAACTTGATCGATGATGCAAGGGGAAGCGAGATGGAAGACGCCGGAGGAGCCAGTGACGGCGGCGACGATGGAGTCGTAATCGAGGAGATCGATCTGAAAGAGGCGGAGACGCGATTCTGCTCCTTCTAGGGCTTCTAGATGCTTCGTTTCTTTCTCATCCTCTACAAAAACACAATCGAAACAACCAGTTTTATTTTATTTATTTTTTGTTAGGAAAAGGGATTGAAGGGAGAGAGAGAGAGAGAGAGACTGAGATCCTTGACGGTGGCGTGAACGGTGTAGCCGCGGTCGAGGAGGAGGCGGACGAGCCAGGAGCCGATGAAGCCGCTGCCTCCTGTAACGCACACTACCTGTCCATCTCCTCCTGCTTTCGTGTTGCTTGACATTTTTCTATTGCTTTTGCTTTTGCTTGCTCTTCTTCTCTCAGCCTCACTCTGGTCTCTCACTCTCCAGCTCAGCTCTACAGTTGCTCACAAATGTTGAACGCAAAGGGCTATTTATAACTGACTTCCCTGCCTCACAAAAAGTAAATTTTAATCAACTTTTAACTAGAATGTAATTTTTAACCATCATCTCAAAAATAATCCAAAAATGTTGGTCGGTTCAAAGATTTTTGTCACCGATTGTCAAAAAATTTTTAAAAAAATAAAATAAATTAAGATAATTAAGAATAAATTATATTGACATTCCTTGAGATTTGATGTAGTTGATATCCACTCTCTGACTTGAAAATTATATTTTTATCCTTATAGTTAATAGTCTCATTTAGGGGTGCAATTCGGGCGGGTTCGGTCGGGTTGGGGGTCTGTCCAAGCCCGACCCAAATTGTATTTGGCAGTGCCCAAGCCCGCCCAAGCCCAACCATGAACCCGAGCATTGCTGCCCAAGCCCAGCCCAAGCTTTGTATTTTGAACTCGGGTTAGCCCGAATTACCCGAATTGCCCGAGTCCAGAAACCTGTAGGTAGATCTAAGGGTAGACATAAAAGATACTAATCTAATGGTAGAAGACTAACCAAAAATAAATAAAAATTAAAAATTAAGACTAACTCTTTTACTTAATAGAAGACTAACCAAAATAAAAATAAAAAATAAAAATTAAGACTAACTCTTTTACTTAATTTATATATATTATATAATTTATTAAATTATATATATTATATATTATATAATTTATATAATATATCAAATTCAATTTGGGTTCGGGTTGCTCAGGTTGGCCATTGGTTCTGCCCAAGCCCCGCCCGAATTACAATTCGGGCATCAAAAATCTGCCCAAACCCGTCCAGATTACAAGATAAAGTTGCCCAAGCCCTAAAAAAACTAGGGCTGGGCTCGGGTTGCTCGGATTGAGCCCACCCGAGTTGCACCCCTAGTCTCATTTCACAAACCCCTATTTATATAAAATGTAACAACTCCCAGTAAAAAAATAGAGGAAATTATATTTTTTAAAAAAAGTAAAGAAAAAAGGAAAAAAAGAAAGAAAGTAAAGCGAAGCAAAAAACGAGAGAGTGTATGAGTTCAATGTCTTCATTTCGTCTAAATAATTACAATGATAAGGGAGTTAGTGTAATTTTCCAAACGTCAGGGATGATTTGTATTAAACTCAAATCTCAGGGTGTGTAAGTGTAATTTACCCAATAATTAATAAGATAAAATATCACATTAAATTTATAATTATATCATTTTTTCCTTACAAATATTACATTAAACTATAAAAAAATATAATCATCTTCTCAAATACAAAAATTTTAACCTACTAAAATAACTTATTAAAATAACAACTTCTCAAGCACCTACATTATTCTGATGATAATAAGCTACTAAAAAGTTTAGAAAAAATTAATCACTACCGCCTATAAATCTAAAATATTAGGGCAAATTATATATACCCCCTCGGATACCTCTTGAGGTTTGAGAAATTATAGATACCCCTGAAGGTACTATTTGCATAACAAATTAGGGGACAAATTGTTATGAAAATATAAATCTAAGGGAGTATCTGTAATTTCTAAAACCTCAAGAGTATCTATAATTTAGCTAAATCTCGAGAGAGGTATATGTAATTTTCCTAAAATTTTACTATTTATAAATTATTCGTTAATTTTTCTCTTCAATATAGAATTATATATAGAAATTCAATTTTAATCCTACACTTCAATATAGAATTATTGAAATCAAAAGTCAAAATTATAAAAAGCATGAAAGTGAAATTTTTATAAAAACAAAAAAACTTGAAAGCTAGGAGGTTTGTTTTCTATTTCCTTTTTGTTGTGCGAAATAATAGATAGTTATAAAATAAAATCATACGTATCAATTAGTACATTAATTAGCATATTAATAAATAATGTAATATAATTTTATTAGTTTTGAATTTATGTAATTTACATAATGAATGGGATTTATAATTTTAAAAATATAATATTGTAATATGTGTTGATATACTAATTAATATACTAATTAGTGTAAGTAACGCCATTGATAATTATATTGCTTGTGCTTGGATTAGTGATAATTATGGAAAAGAGTCCAGTTACAAATTTTTTTGACATCTTGCAATATTTTAAAATATTTTTCCCTTATATAAGAAATATATTCAGTGTGTTATGGTACACAAATATTATAACTCAATCTATAAAAATAAATTATAATCAAGGTATGATCAAAAAATTATTAGATTATAATTAAAATAATATCATAATTAACATCACAATAAATCATAACTAACAAACAGTATAATAGGTTATAATCGAAAGGAAATATATACCACATAATTTTCCATGTTGAAAATACCAAAAAACGGATTTCATTCCAATCTTTTCCTTTCCTTTTAATACAAATTAATGTTGTTCCCAAACAGTGTTAAAGCTTAATTTTATCTACATGAATTACCCCAGCGGGTTTAGTTAAAGGATTGGTTTGGAGAGTGTGTTGACTTTTTGACTTTTTAACTTTTTTAATTATTTTAACTTGAGCTAAAAAATCTATTTTAACTTAAGCTAAAAATCTTGATTTGAGAAGGACTTTTTGACTTTTTACTTTTTTTATGAAAAAATAGTATAATGATTATGGATTTGATGTGATATTTTATTTGTTGTGGATAATGTGACGATTTTAGCCACAAATTATCTTTCCAAACGGACCCAAATGTTTTAAAACTCAAATTCTTCTGAATTGAGTTCACTTATTTCTGAGAATTACAAATAAGTGACAAGTTGACAAAATAATTACAATTCTTTAAGATATGCAGATAAATCTCTATCGAGTGCAAATGTAAACTCGTGTGCAAAGTCAAAGTTGTGCATGACATAAGACATAACTTTTATTTACTATTACCTAAAAAATAACTTTTATTTACACCTCCATAAGAATATAATTATTTAACAACTATCCACTGGCACCTCCGTACCATAATTAATTGTCAAATTTCCACTGATTTGCAATTCTCCCTCGTTTAACCTAGTGCAGGTAGACATTTGTGACAACCATCCATAAACTACCACCGTCTACAATAAGGATGACAAGCAACGTCAATCCACCACCATAGCCGACGACAATGATGAATACAACCGCCCATGGCCAATGAATTAACGATGAATACAACCATCATGGTTGTCATTCCTCCAACACCATTTCTAAGTTGTCATTCCTTCAACAACCACATGGATATCAACTTTCGATCCACAGAAAGTATCAGTAGCTCTTTTTTTCATAGATTGAGCAATCTTTCAATACAAATACAAACACAATCAAACCACCCAAAAGTAAGCAACTTTATTTGAATGTTGAACGAAAAGTATATGGTAGAACTAAGCACATGATGCTCAATCTAAGGACAGATCTCTGCCATTGAAATTTGTAGCAGAAGAGAACAGAATTAATACAAAACCACAAGGGTTGTATATCTCATGATACATCCCCACATTAAAGGGGCAACAGTAAATTTGGTGGCAGTTAAAAATAAATACGAATGAATTATGCATCCGTGAGTATTACTTTCGCTTATCCAGACTCATAAAACTATTACATCTGCAAAACTGGAACCTGATACCTGTTTGCTCAATCATGTCTATCCAAAAACTTCTCTATCAGAACCGAAAATGTAGCAAAGCCAGCACAACCAGCACAAGCTGCTTTGGGACCACCTAAAAAACACAAATAAGACGGTCATAGGTTAGATATTCACAGGACTAGGCGCAAAACAAAGAAGAATTTATTGAAACATGAGTAAACTACCAAGATTCTACCATGCCGGTTTTATGAAGTGGCAGTGTGTTTTATGAAGTGGCAGTGCGATTACATTTTGTCCCTATAATTTCATTTTTGCCATTGATAATAGTTCTGTAATAAAAAGAGAGGGTCTCAAGATAATTATGAAGCCCATGTATAGCAAAAAGCTGGAGAACCAATGGTAGCGATTTGTCTCCAGTCCCTAGACTGAAACAATTGCATTTAAAACATGCAGCTGTTACAACCCTTTCTAGAACTAACAAATGATCTGATTCTGTTTCAACTAATCATTGGAGAACGAAACAAAATCATGCAGCTAAACTCAGTAATTGGAGTAAGACCATGCCAATGATTACATTTGAAGATAATGTAGTAGCACAAGCAATATTTTCTAGACCTTCCCATCATTAAAAAGCCTCACAGCACTAGTTTCTTTCAAGGATAACATCATAATAACCATTGAGAGAGTTGGGAAACTACTTTTTTCTATTTTATATAAGCTGAATAAAACCTTCTAAACAAACATAAGACCGTTTAGTATTCATCTCTTCAGAAACTGGAAGAGAATAGCATTGGTTCTCGCAGATGCAAACAAACAGGATACAGGGACCAACCAAGTGTAGTCCTATCATTAGAGCTAAAATAGTAGAGATATATGTTGTTATGTAGTTATAAATTAATTTTATGAATTATAAAATGATTAATTATAGTTTATTGATTTAGTTGGCTATTGTCCGTTGGCTATTTGGAAACTTTGTGGAAATGGGTCTATATCTAAGCATTTTTCAACTAGGTATTTAAACCATATAATGATATATGTCACCCAAAATGTTCCTCTTACTGAACACTGAATTATTAAAGAAAGAGTCTGATTTGTCAATGTTACGTACTCTGAGATGTAATCAATTAATCAGCAACTTAATTGCACAAAATTTCAAAATAAAAATAAAAGACATACATCATCTCAATGTAAAGAACAATTCTGTAGTTTTGTGCACCTAGCTCAATGCAATCTTTTCTAAGAAACACTGAGGCCACTAAGTTCATTGGAAACTATTATAAAATTTAAAAAAACCAAATAGTATTTGACAAATTACCATAAGAGGGTGAATTAAAGCTATACTCACTTTCTTTTCTTTGTTTGCTTTTTTTTTTCCTTTTATTTTTTTATTTTTTTATTTTTGGTGATAAGAAAACCTACACCTTTTAAGGCCTATGATGAAATGATAAAACAAAAAAGTGATCAACAAATGACTCCAGTGATCCTTTCCACTGATGTGTTAAAAAATAGTTGCACGAGTATTATGTTAAAATTACACAAAGGTAACTGGAAGTCAAAACTAGCCAACTTTTATATGATCAGAAATTGCTTGATATTTCCATAAATTGGAATATAAGTACTACGTGAAAGTGAAACTTGGTATGATTTATAAAGATTAATTTAGGGATCCTCCTTGCTCATCTAGAAAAGCCTAACACATACTATCATTGCAAACAAGTATACAAGGAAGAGGAATCATTTTTTAAGATGTTATAAATACCTTTGTCAACTTATTTAGGCAGAATTGCTGAGAGACATATGGAAGTACTCCTATTTCCAGACTTGATGTCATACTCATGTGAAGTAAAGGTTATGTACATTCTACATCAGGAAGGCAGGAGAATTCTATGTTGATTCTTGAGAGTGAACTCTCCCATTTGATTACCCATCCAATAACATAATGCTCGTAATAATTGGGGAATTCGAAAAAAAGGAACACACATGCAGCATAGTAAACTTGTAATGATCATGTCACTTCTATGCTCTAAAGTCTACGTCTAGTTGCAGACTTGCAGCTCCAAACATGATTGGAAGAAACTGAATAAGAGGGGGGGGACCTCATTTATTAGTTATGGCATTGTCAGCATTATTTATAATTCATGTGTCAAATTTTTTTAATCAATTAATTCGATAGCACCACTTTACCAGCAAAAAATTATTGGACTTCAATGGTTGAAGCATTTGTTCATCATATACTCACAAGTACGAAGGTTATCTCGTTCGAAAGGAATATTTGAATGTCCTACGAATAAACTAAAGCCAAAGTAAGGTACAGAACATGTAAGGATTCTTTCCAACCATCCCATGACACAAATGCCAAATATTTGGGAAATACTTATTTAGAATAGGATGACATGCCTGAAGCTTAATTGGCAGGATACACAATTGTTTTATCTGACTATTTCAAAATGAACATGCAGTTCACAGATAAAGAGTTAATATGATAAACAAATAGGAAAAGATTACCCCTAGCCGATATTGCACCTCCAGTTACACATCCTGCAACAACTGTATTTGTGATGTCATGTTTTGCACGAGCCTTCAAGCAATTACTCAAGAGTTAGTGCTCTCAGCAAAGAAGAAAGATTGGAAATACATACATTAATTGCCAATAAATTGCATAGAAGTAGATAGAGAGCTCAAAATTTCACTGCCAACTCATAATCATTCTGATTTTTTGCCATTTATTTCTCAGCAACTAAACAGACAATAAAGAAGGGAAGGAAAAAAAATTAAAAACCTCTTTTGTATAATCTGTTTTACCTTCTCAACGACACATTCAGCAGCTGAAAAAATCAAGCCCATAACTGCAAAAGTTTTGCAGGAACTCCAACTCCTACTTCCCATCTGCTTTGCTGTATAAATGAACTGCTGCTTGCCAGTCATTTGATCTTGCATTATGGGGTTCTCCAATGCCCCTAAAAACATACCCATGAACAACCCCAGCCCACCTCCTGCAAATATTACCGCAACACAGTAAAAACCACAAATAACTCTGCTAATATTTTAAGTATATATACACAGTTCATAAATATATAACCCAGTGCAAAATGGGTAACAGAAAACATAACAATTATACAAACACTTAGTTTGGCTGCTGATGAAACTTAGCAAAATAAAAACTTGAAATTTCAAATCATGGAAACTTCAACATCACCCAAGAAAAGAAAAAATGGTTCAGTTGATCTTAATTGTCTTGGTTGAGGTGGTTTTCTTGTTTCCTGTGATTTAAAACAACTAAAACAATATTCAAACATAAATACATGTCCACACACACAGAGGAGGGAAAAGGCTTCATAAATATAAACTTTAGCACAGAAACACAATAATACATCATTAAAGATACCAATTAAATAGTGTATTGGCATTGTTTTAGTTCTTATCATTGCATATGTCATCAAGTTTAAGCTCATGTTCATCGACATTGTTGTGTACTTTTGGCCTCCCATGTATGTCCATCATGCATTTGATTACCATTGTGATATTCCTATCACTGAGACATGCAAGTAAAACACCAAGGTCCCAGACTGGAAATTAGCAAAGAACTCTTTGAATATTTTTGAAAGAAATCACCAGAAATATGCCTACTCTAATATCTACAAACTTTTCTGCGTTCTCCCTCCTCACTTTCTTATAGGAACTGACAACATGTAAATTTCAATTCTGAGAGCAATACAACATTGCTGTAAATGAGATTACAAATTTACGACCATCATTCAATCACATTGCTTCATTTTTTGTTTCAGAGGTTACACACACTCAAACGTAATAAATGGATAACAATTTGATAGGGGCATTCCATAAATAGAAGGTTACTGTTGATGGTTTTTCATTCACATCTTAGTAACACCAGCATTGCAAGGCAAAACCAATTTTGTTCTTTCTTTCCTTATTTCACCAAACATAATGCAAAGTTTGTAAGCAAGTATTAACAACCCATCAAGAGCAATTGTAAGGAAATGGTGTACGGTCAGAACACCGTTTGCCAACACAGATCATTCAAAAAGACAAATTTTATTATAACCATGTGTAAATTCCTGTTCGTATCTAATGATGGAAGCTAGAGAACTTCTTTGGAAAATAAGCCAACCAGAGAACTCTGGAAAAATATACAAAATACTCAAGTATCAATCCTCAACTTGAAATTGCAGGCAGGTTGTGAATTGAATACATCAAACTGAATGGGAAAGGAAGGTGGAAAAAAAAAAAAAAACACCCGGCAGAAAATAGGAGATAGAAAACTCAAAGGTTCAGTCACCAAGCTCAAATCCATAAATTGTCCCAAAAAAATCACACAGATAATAATCCAAAAGAAAATAATATTCAGAAGGGTCTCTCTCTCTCTCTCTCTCTCTCTCTAGAGATATCAGTAGAACAATTGAAATGGAATGACAACAGCACAGAGTGACCTACGAAGTAATGAATCCGTGGCCTATCAAAATTGTGAAGATATAAAATTTTAAACAAAATAAAATAAAATAAAATAAAAAGTTAACTTTGAATTAGGGGGAGACTAGATTTGTGATACTAACCCATGAATCCGCTAACGACGCTGCGAACAGCGCAATTGTTCCAAATGTCTTGGCCCCGAATCTCCTCCGCAGAAGGCAACCGCAGGGGCTCAATCTGAGGCTTCGGTGCCTCGTTTGAGCTCGAAGACGAAGAGTCGGATTTCGTTCCATCTTCTGGATTCGCACTCATTGTGGCTCCTCCAAATCGAATCGATTACAGTATGTGTGAGTGTCAACGAAGAGAGTAAACCCTAGAAGTGAAGATATGATGTCGACGATGAGAGCGAACTTCTTTAAATTCAATTGGAGGTAAAAAGTGAGTTCGCCGCCATTGGAGGGTCTTTGTTGTGAGGATACTCATTTTTTTGAAGCTCTAACGATAAAACACCCTAGCGAGGGAGGAGGTTGGGTTCGGAGTCTTGGGATGCAAGCACCGTCACCCGCGCGCAATTCCCTGTCGGTCATATTAGCTGGTGTACTTTAGCAAAGTATGTGCACTTTTTTCTGAAAAAATTGCCGATAAATCTCAATTTAGGGGATGTTAATCCATTTAGTATTTAGTTTTTTTTTATGAATTATTTGGTCCTATTTAATTGGTACGGTTTATTTTTTTTAATTTGACATGTGTGTATCTTACATATTTATCCTATTATTTGAGTTGGTGTGATTTCTTTTTATGGATGTATAGTAATGTTGTTGAGGGTAATATTTTACGTATTTATCCTTTTGTTGAATTTGGTGTGATTTCTTTTTGTTGATGTATAGTAGTGCTGTTGAGGGCCGGTTTGGTAACACATATGACGTGACATTTTTACATGATGATCGGTTACAAACATCTAGGTCATTCATTGCTTAGACGTAGTTTAATAATTAGTAAGTGTGGTGTGCAATTTAACATTTTTCATTCAATAATATCCACGAAATGTCCATGTAACAATGTTCATGACAATGTTGACAAAACAACGTTATGTGTTAACCACTAAAAAAATATGAACCAACAAAATTATGCATCACTAAACTAACGTCTCATTTCATAAAAACCACCAAAAATTTTTAGTATCAACCATCAAAAAATGTATCAACAAAACATATGTAATATTAAGTAATCTTCCAATGTTTCATCATTTTTTTCGAGTTCATCGCCACCAGTAAAGACTACAATCATGCAGTCATAAATTTTTTTCCCAAACAAAGTCTGCAGGCTATGAAAGGTAGCTTATTCTTCTTTCGAAAAGTAGAACTTGGCTGAGAAAACTACAACTGCATGAGTTATCCTTAGCCATATTGATGACTTTGACAATTTCTTTTCCAATAAATTCAGACTCGTCAGAAAAATCAAATAATCCTACCATTTTTTGTTAGGTTGCCAGTTTGAACCAAACAACACATTAACAAAAGAAAAAATGCTTATATTGCTAATTGATGTAGATTTACCAAGAGTGTCAACGACATTAAGAATCTAGCCATTTGTCAATACAATTTTGTAGCTCACAAGTATTAGTAACACCAGCTGACATTGTGTTCACTGAAAATACTGGTGTTACCAGTATTTGTGAGCTACAAATTGTATTGACAAATGGCCAGATTCTTAATGTCATTGAGACTCCTGGTAAATTTATATCAATTAGCAATAAAAGCATTTTTTATTTTGTTAATGTGTTGTTTGGTTCAAACTGCCAAGCTAACAAAAAATGGCAGGATTATTTGATTTTTTTGCCGACTCTAAATTTATTGGAAAAGAAATTGTCAAATTCATCAACATGGCCAAGGATAGCTCATGCAGTTCTTGTAGTTTTCTCAGCCAGATTCTGCTTTTCGAAAGAATAAGAAGCTACCCTTCATAGCTTGCAGACTTTGTTTGGGAAAAAAATTTATGACTACATGATTGTAGTCATTACTGGTGGCGATGAACTCGAAGAAAATGATAAAACATTGGAAGATTACTTAATGTTACATATGTTTTTTGTGATACATTTTTTTATGGTTGATACTAACAATGTTTGGTGGTTTTTACAAAATGTGACATTAGTCTAGTGATGCATAATTTTGTTGGTTCATATATTTTTGAGTGGTTAATACATAACGTTGTTTTGTCAATATTGTCATGAACACTGTTACGTGGACATTCCGTGGATATCACTGAATGAAAAATGTAAAATTGCACACTACACTTGTTAATTACTAAACTACGTTCAAGCAGGGAATGACCCAGATGTTGGTAGGGATGGCAATCTGAAACCGGCCCGATGGGGACCCGATCCTCCGATCCCGAATATAATGATTATTCCCCAAAAAATACCCCCGACGGGCCGGGGATGGTGATAAAAAAAAAATCCCCTATGATATTCGGGCCGGGGACGGGGGGGACACACGTTTCAGTCCCGGCCCCGGCCCCGAGCCCCGCCCCGTTGATCTCCCCGAATAATATATATATTATATATCCCCGGTCAATGTCATCCTATCTTTTATTCATTTAGTTATATATTTATTCATACTCTTTTTTTATTTCATCTCCATCTTATCTACTCTCTCTCTCTCTCTCCATTCCTCACATCTCTCCTCCTCCTCCACGGATCACTTCGCCATCGTCTCTCTCTCCCTCACTCACGGCGGCTCCTCTCTCTCCTCGCAGAACCCCCTCAACCACAGCCCTAAGAATGGCCACGGCGGCTCTGTTTGGTCTCAGTCCGTCGATCCTCCACCACCACATCCTCTGCCGCAGATCTGAACAACACAGCCTCTGCCCGTCCTCCGCCGCAGATTTCGACATCACTCCCTCCTCCGTCGCAGCTCCGGTGTTTGACCTAGACAACGCCGACGGCATACGGCATACGGCTCATCACTCAGATTTGGTTTTTGTTTTTTTTTTTCAAAATGTTGTTGATCACCAGTTCATCATCACTCAGATCTGTTTATTTATTTATTTATTTTTCAAGTTGTTGATGATGAAGATGATGATAGTTATGTTTGTATGTGTTTTGTGTTTCAGATTATTTTTTTTTAAGTTTTTTATTTTTAAGTTGATGATGATTGTTGATGATCATGAAGAAACAGATTTAAAAAAAAAAATTGTTGTGTTTCTGTGTTGAACAAAATTAAAAAAAAAAAAACAAAAACAAAAACAGGTCGGGGATTTTTCGGGGTCGGGGAAACCCAATCCCCGTTAGGGAGCGGGGGCGGGGGGGTTGATGGTGTCCCCGTCGGGGATCGGGGGCGGGGACGGGGATTTTCTGGTCTTCGGGGATCGGGGACGGGGAGAGTGATCTCCGGCCCCGCCCCGCCCGTTGCCATTCCTAGATGTTGGTAACCGATCATCATGTAAAAGTGTCACGTCATATGTGTTACCAAACCGGCCCTCAATAACACTACTATACATCAGCAAAAAGAAATCAAACCAAATTCCACAAAAGAATAAATATGTAAAATATTACTCTCAATAACACTACTATACATCAATAAAAAGAAATCACACCAAATCCCACAACAGGGTAAATATGTAAACTCCACACATGTCAAATCAAAGGAAATAATCCTTGCCATTTAAATAGGACCAAATGGTTCATAAGAAAAAATAAAGGCCTAAATGGATCAACATTTCTCAAATTGGGATTTATCGGTAATTTTTCTTAATTCATAATCATTTCACTTTTTTTCTCACAAATATGACACTCAACTAAAAAAAACTCAATCATCTTTTTAAATATAAAAATTTAAACCTACTAAAATAGTCAAAAATTAAAATAACCTACTAAAATGGCAATTTCCAAACACCAACAATACCTGGTAATACCGAATGCCAAAACTATATAAACGAGATTTAACCCAATTAGGGTGTGTTTGTTTTGAAGGATTAGGGGATGGGATTGGACTATTAGTCCTATCGGACTAATAGTCCATTGTTTGTTTTATTTTTTTTTGCTCTGGACTAATAGTCCCCCCGGACTATTAGTCCTACAAATATGAGACTATCCTATCCCATTGGAGGAGGTGTGATAGAAACCGTGGGATTGGTATCCCGTGAGATTATTTTGTGAAATGTCTATTTTACCCTTCATGCTATTACTTAGCAAATAATTATAAAATGATTAAATAGTCTTTTGAATATTTATAAATTATTTTTTTAGTGTTGTTAATTTAAAATTATATATTAAATAAAAAAATTTAATTAATAAATTATAAATTATGGCCTTATAAATTAAATTTTTCTAGGTGTTGTTGAAAATTTAATTTATATATTAAATAAAATTATTTTTTAGTGTTGTTAATTTAAAATTATATATTAAATAAAAATATAAATTAAAAATTAAATTTATTTAAAAATAATAAATTATAAATTATGGCCTTATAAATTAAATTTTTTTAGTGTTGTTGAAAATTTAATTTATATATTAAATAAAATTATTTTTTATTGTCGTTAATTTAAAATTATATATTAAATAAAAAATATAAATTATAAATTATAAATTTAATTTAATTGAAAATAATAAATTAAAATAATTAAAATATTGTGTAAAAAATAAAATAAAACAAATTTTTATTTAATCTAATTAAAAATAATTAAAATATTAAAGTTATGTTTAATATTGTTAAAATAATTGAAAAAGATAAAATAATTATTTGAGCATTTATTCTTCTCCATAATATTTCAAACAAACATTGAATAATTAAAAATAATCAAATCTAAACATCTAATTTCATGACTAAACAAACATAAAATATAAATTTAATCAACCAATGCCGAGACAATATAACCCAAAACTAATATTCTCATGTATGACGATCTCTTTTATCCCGTCCGTCCAAACAGACGCACCCTTGGCTTAGCTTTTAGGAGTCTCATCTTTTGCACACTCGTTCGGGACTGCAGCGTAGCACCACCACAGCCGCCGGCGTCGGCCTCACACTAGGGGTGGTGACTAGTTTTTCTAAGACACAAACATGGTTCGTTTTGCTCTCTTTTTTAACCCCTCGTCCTGTTCGTTTTTATCGCAGAAAATGCTAAACTAGTCAATTGTCATAGATTGCATTTGCTTGTTTTTAGGGGTTTTGAATTGTTTAAGTATATCTTTGTTTCAATTGTGTACTAAAACTGAGCACGGATCTGTTGGGTGTTGCATGCATGATCAAATTCTGTGTGTGTGTTTATGCGATAAACAGGAACTCTGTTCAATTGCAGAGAAATATGGATGTGTTTCTCTTTTTTAAATGATTTTTGTGTGTTTTTTTTCCTCAAGAAAAATAAGTCTAACAGATGTTTCAATTATTCTTAAAAGTTGGGATTTTTGTGAAATATTTTTCTTAGCATTCCATTTTTTTTAAAAAGTTCCCAGGAATATTTAATTCCAAATTAACCCAACCAATTTGGCAAGCCTCATTCATGGTCTACTCTCTTCTCGCTGGTCATCCTTCATTCTTACGTAACTACAAAATTTAGTATAAAGTATAATTTTTTTCCCTTTATTTATTA